TCGGTGCTTTGAATTAGGAAAAACATTCTCAATAGCTTGTTTTATTGCTGCATCTTGATCGGTTAAAACAAGTGTTGGTTCTTTCCCATGAGTTTTAAGAAACGCTTTAAGCAACCAAGAGTAGGACTCAATGCTTTCATTGCTTAGCAAACCCGCTCCAACAGTAACTGATTTTTTATGATGGTCAATAGTAGTATATGGAACAAAAACCATTCGATACCTAACACACACAAAAAAAAGTGTTCATTTTTTGATGTATTCATAACTAAAAATAAAAATATTCATCTATCAATACAATTACAGTATATTATTAGAATAATTTCAACAATAAAAACTAAACATGAAACGTAAAAGTTAAAATATTCATATATGAATAAGCAATAAAAAAGTAAATAGAATAACTTACTTGTTTGTTCGGAAAGTCGCATCAAACGAGATAACATCACCAAATTCAGCATAATATGCCTTCTCCATTTCATCAACCCAAAACATACAGTCCAAAACATCATCTTGACAGTTAAACTCAAATGAGAAATTTGGATAGTGAGCTCGATGGTCATTCATTGTGTTTACTATCATTTGGGCATCTTTATAACCTATAACCCTGTTGATATCTCTCCTTAAATTTTTTATAGTCAACTACTTTGGGCTTTACAAACTCATACCCACCTCTCAGACTTGCCCTCAACTTATGAGCCATAGTTGGGCCTATTTTTGATGTGGAAGCACACACTATAAACTCTTTTTTCTGAATATGACATTTGTCTCGCTCTTTTTAAATCACTTCTCTTCTCAAGTGGATGGTTGTGAAATTCATCAAACTGAAAAACTTTATAATCTGGAGTTCCATACACAGATTCAAATAATCTTTGATTGACAACCAATAACTCTTGAATTTGAATTTCGTTTTCTCCTAACACCACTTGTACCCAATGTGTCACAAGATTTCTTTTTCTGTTTGCCACCATGATTACATATAACATGTTTCTTCTTTATAATCTTGTTATCAAACCTTGACTGCGTGCTCAGTCTCACATCAAAACCACCAATTTCTACATACTCGGAATACATTTTGATGGCCAACTTTAATGATTTGAAGATTAAACCTTTAAATGGAATAAGTTGAACATGTACATTTTGGCTTATAGACATGTTCTCCAATTATACCACCACAATATTGTGCATCATCTACTGAACTCGAAGATTCACCACCTAAAAAATATTAAATCTAAATCAATATAATAATGCATGAATAAAACAATCATATATGAATACATGAAATTCATATGAATAAAATAAAAAACAATGTTTATTAATGGATTAATAAAACATTCATATATGAATACATAAAATTCATGAGGATTCAAAATATATAAAATAAACATAACTTATTCATATATGAATAAAACGAAAATACAATTATCACACGTTTATTCATATATGAATAAGACAACAATTTATTCATATTAACATATTAATATATCAATAAATGTTAATCAACAAAATTAAAAAAAACAAAATAATTCAATAACTGATACCTTCAAAAAATGAGTTCTCAACATCTTCTTCTTCACTCTCACACATAGAAAGAATACAAATCACCATCAATAACACTAGAATTCGACATAATAAACCAAATGATCTGTATAAATAAACAAAAACAATCTTAATATCAAATACATCTCACAAAAAAAGTCGTAAATATGAAAACCTGGTTAATTTCGAATATATCTCACCACAACGTACAAAATATCTGAATGAAACTTAAATCAGCTCGATCAGATGATGTAATTAAGCAATCTCTCTCAGTTCAGAGCGTAAAAACTACAACGATATATCCGATTGAAAATTAAATCAGCTCCGATTTGAAATAAATATCTCAAACTACATAACAAAAATCCGATGAAACAACTCCAATACATATTCGAAACTTGATAATCCTTATAATGAACTCCGATGAAACAACTCCAAAACGAAAATAATACGCGTAATTCAAAACAAATTATATAAAGCAATAATCTTGATAATGAACTCCGATATATCCGATTCAAACGATATACATACCTGATCAAATCGGAAACTGAATACGAAGAAGAAAACTGAAACACAGATGCGAAACTACACGATTAATGGAAAAAATACGTATAATTGCTAACGAGTTATATAAAGAAAAAAAATCTTGATAATGAATTCCTCATATCCGATTCATACGAGCTAAAGATATCATCAAATTGGAAACTGATAACAACGAACAGGTAAGTTCTATATAAAAACGTTGCTAATTTACAAATATACCCTTAATGAAAAATGGACACGCACATTTTCTTAAGGTGAACATGTTACATAAATGATTGGCTGAGAATGATTCCCCCATTCTCAACCTTTTTTATTTTCTCAATTGAACTTACCTATATATATATATATATATATATATATATATATATATATATATATATATATATATATATCTATATATATATATATATCAAGGTTATAAAGAAATATCTATAAGACTAAACTGCATATTTGGTCACTCTGGTTAGCAAAAAAATATTGATGCGGTCCAAAAAGTTTCCAACTTCCAACACTGATCCAAAATCACAAAGTTTCCATGGATTTGGTCCCTAAACAATATGAAATGACTTTTTTATTCTTTTCATTTTGATTTTTCATTTTTTAGATCAATATTATTATTATTTTTTAATTAAAAACTAAACAAAACCCACCCCAACCAACCCTCTGACCCCTACCCACACTCTCACCTTCACTCCTTAACTTTTCTCATTCTCTCGTTCTTCATTCTATATTCGTTCTTCATACACTGACAGGAATCACTGGAGCCGAAGTGAAATCCCACCCCTCCACCATACCCTGTCCACTACCTACTACACACCCACCATGCTCCTCTCTCTGTCATCGAACTGAAGAACATATATCATTCTCTTCTGCAACCTTTATCAGATCAACATGGACACACATACACTGAAATTGATGATTCGCTACATCTATTTCAATCGATGAATTAGGTTCCAACTCTATTTATATGAAAGAAAAATGTCCAGATCCTAATTACGTGAAACAAATAAATAACATAAGAAGAAATTCAAGCGCATGTCCCCTTTTATCCCTTTCCTTGAATCGCAGCCACCCACCTTCAAATCAATACAAGAAACAGAAACATACACCAAAATCCTCTTTGATTTCTTAACTTCGTAGAAAGCTTGATGAAGGAACTTCAAATTTCGATGACTATGAGAACCAGTTTGGAGTAGATAAAGCTAACTGTGAAACCAACCAACCCAATGTCGAATCAACAACGATTTGTGTCTAAGTTTTCTGAGGAAAATGGAATCAGCGATTTAGCAATTTTGTACTAATGCATTGACCTCTTAATATCCATCGATATCATTCGGGTTAGAAGTGGGGAGGATGCTTGATTTCAAGAGATGTATCATCGTCACCAGATGACGTATTGTTGAGTTTTTGGGAGGAATTTCGTTGTTTGCATGGAGGTGTCCATACTTACTGTGCGATTAAGTGTATCACGACAATGAAGTGACTCTGATTAACGCTGGATTTTATAAAAAATTAATTAATTTATCCTTATCTATCTAACATATTCTCTAAAACTCTACTTATTTGATTAGTCATTTTTTAAAACACATGTCGTATTTAAAATTATTAGAAGTATTACAATACATTGTTTCAACAAAAAAAAATTACAAAACATCGTTTGAAAAAATTAATATAAAAAAATTATTACGTCAAAGTTATATAAAAGTATGGAAAAATTATATCAGCGTTATAATTTTATATCATTAAATACTTAACAGAAATAATTAATTAGTAATAAATAAAAAAATAAATTGAGTAATCTAACCATAATGTAACATGTATTTAAAGAAAATAACAAAAAAAAAAATTGATTTTGGCAAAATAACCACAAAGTGCAGAATGAAGAAGTCCGAATAAAAAAAAATATTTTTTCTGACAAAAAAACAAACATTCTGGATTTGTGTTGAAATTTTGGAATTCAGATAAAGAAACTCCAGAATTTTAAGAACAAATCCAAAAATATGATAAGCAGTTCCGGAATTTTGAGAAATATATAGTTTTCTACGAAAATCAAAAAAAAATTAAGCAAAAATAGTAAGAAGTAAATATATACAATACTATGACTTAAAATCAAACATTTGATTGAAAACGATAATATTAAACATTTAAAAATATAGAGAGATTTCTTTGAAAAAAATTGAGAAAAACAGAACTCAAAAGTTTGATAAATCGTCTGGATTTGAAGTATTTGGAAGAAAATGATCGTTTTTCAAAAACAATACAAAAAATTGTTATTTTATTTGAGAAAAACTAATTTATAATGATTAGTTTATCTAATTTCCCACCACTAGAAAATAAGGTATCAGCGACGGAATCAGCGACGGAAAATATCCCTAGCTAATTAGCGACGGATTTACTAGGGATCAATGACGGAAATCAGATGGCTCCTTAAAACCTAAATTCTACTCTGTGAATATGGATAGACCCGTCGCTAATCTCCAGTTCCCTCCCATTTTTTGTCTAATTTTCAATTCCCTCTCAATATTTTCATTCCCCCTATACCTCCCCCCCCCCCAAATTCTCCCTTTTAAAATATCTTACCCTAATTTCAACCCGCCACTCCTTACCTCCAACACCGTCGATTCTGGCCACCCCACCCATAACCCCTAACATTACCAATTTCCGCCGCCACCACCCCCAATAGCTCCGATTCATGACGTTAAATACACCTCAGATTCTCTTACAGACGTCGACAACGAAATTGAAACACCACATTATGGGTTCTTCGAGTTTCCGTTGCCAATCTCCATGATTCCAGGTATATTTTGATGTTTTCGACATTCACTTTCAACACTATTCTAATCTACATTCCCCAAATCTATGATTTTGTAAAGTTAGCCTCTCATATTGTAGATATTAAGGATAATCGTTAGTCGAGTGAGTAGATGGCCACGGATGAAGAATCATCGCTTGTTGATGAGAATCAAAATGGAACTCAAACACTTATTCATAACAGAGAAATTTATATTCTGATTTGGGTGTTCTTGTTGTTTTACTTGGCTTATGATGCTGCTCAGAATTTGCAGAGTACACTCAAAATTGTGAGTTTTCTTTTTCTGGTTTCTACATATATTCAGTAATTTAATTTTCTGCTCAGAACAACTTCAAGAAGAACAAGAAGCGACCATATCAGGAGGTACAACCCCCAATTTTTTTTATGGATTTTTACATTTGAGTTAATTTGGACATATTTTCCCTTATGTTATTGTTGATTTTTGGAACGAGTATTGGTATTTGGTACCCATGATGCTTTTAAATTAGTTTTACATGTATAAAAAATGTTTTTGACATATTTTCCCTTATAAAAAATGTTGGAAAGAAGATTGGTGTTTGGTATACCCACTGTATAGAGGAGAAATCTGCCTTATAATGACATTTTAGGCTTTAAAGATTTGAAATTGTATTTTAGTTATAATAGGGATCAGCCAAATAAAAAACAAAAAGTAAGGGCCTTTTTACCATAAAATCATAATGATTTTTTTTCCAAAATTACCAGTAAAATGCATTGTTTTTTTTTTCTATATAAGAAATATGAATCATCATAAGTTCATTACCATCAGTGGCAGATGCAGTGTGGTGCATGGACACCCATGGGAGTTGACTAATATAAATAAAACTCTTCCACTCCCACGCCTCTTCATTTCTCTAAGGTAAACTCTAACTTTTAATGTCTTGATTGATTTAAATAAAACTAAAGCAATCGTTTGTATTTTAAATTGTTAATTGTTCTTTTTTGAATCTATGATGAATTTTAGTCAAGTGTAAATGGGTATTAATGTATTTTCTGTTTTCCATTATGAGTCCATTATGAGGCCCAAAGAATGGTTAGATTTGGTTGCATCTCTAAAACTTATATTCTTGCTCTGTCACCAAGTAAGTTTTATTCTTTACCATATTTTTTTGGGTTTACCTAGGTGTGAGCTTATCAAACAAACATTATACTTTGAAATGTTACCCATTTATATCACTCTACTCTCAAAAGTGCAATGCTCTAATAAGAAAACAAATTTCAAAACTTATGTAAAACATTTTACAAACAACCAAGTCTTTATCTTAATGAATTAATGGTTTATTTTCTTACTATCTTGTATATTTTTTTTCAGAATGAAAGCTCGAAGTTGGATCATACATTATTGGGTATAAAGTCCAAATCATTCACCCGAAAACCAGTGTAAGGTCTCTTATAAGTTACAATGTCAACATCAATTAATAGTTTGTTTACCTTTTAAAAGGAATTTAGTTTTAAAGGATGAAGGATGAGGTCATTGAAAGTACATTCTTACAAATTGTTTTCTTTGTAGGTTATTGTTGGCCGGTAGGAGATAAAGGATGAGCTTAGGGCGGAACGTGAAAAATTGAGGCCAAAAAACAAGAAATTATCAATATTTATAACGGCATTCATACTTGATTCACCCAAGGAAGTAACCTGCCCGACTAAGTAGACTTTCACACTTCATTTTTTGTAATTTGGTTTCAATACTTTGAAATCGATTTAGACTTTGACATTTGATTTTTGTGATTTAGTTTCGATACTTTGAATGTGATTTGGTATCAATAATTTGAAATCGAATATTAATCTTCATTTATATAGTTAGATATTAATATTTAATTTAGTAGTTGAATTTTATTTTAGTTTATTATTATTATTATTATTATTATTATATATATATATATATATATATATATATATATATATTAAATTTATTTTGTAAATTATGGTTGTAGATTAGAACAGCAAAACTAATGATATAATTGATAATCAGCGACGAAAATGTGACAGAATCAATTGGTTATCTGAGTTTTCCCGAAAAGTTATTCTGTAGCTAAAGAACTCATCAGCGACGGATTAGCGACAGACATCAACGACGGATTAGCGACGGAATCCAGAACTTCCTTGACCAATTTGTGGCATCGTTAATCCGTCGCTAAATCCTTCGCTAATCCGTCGCTGAATCCGTCGCTGACAATTAGCGACAAGGGTTTTTTTGACTACCGAATTCTGTCGCTAATCCGTCGCTGATGGCCTTCAGCGACGGATTAACGACAGAATTGTCCGTCGCTGATACCTCTGTTTCTAGTAGTGTCCTAATAGAAAAAACACTTAAAATTAAAATATATTTAAGGGGTAAAATAAAATATGACTAAAATATGGGGGGTTAAATATAATATATAAAAATATATTGACCACGCAGTATATATAACAGTAAAAAGAAGCAAAATACATATGTATTCATTTATAATGATTAGTTTATAGTTTATTCAATTTCCTAATAGAAAAAATACATAAAATCAAAATATATTTAAAGAGTAAAATAAAATATGACTAAAATATGAGGGGTTCAATATAAAATATAAAAATATATTGATCATTCACGAGTCAAGCGATCATATTTTGCTATAATGTTCATTGGCGAAAATTATGATAGATTCGATTCTATCTTGGTGTGAAATCCAATACGGAGAATTTCAATAGGTGAAAGATGTGTTACTTTTCATATCGCGATGGTCTCGTTGCAAAAAGAAAAGAAACTTGTTAAATGTGATTTTTTGCGGGGTTTTGTGGTGTCTCTGAATTGATACGAATAACAGAGTTTTCAAAAGCATTCCCTTCATTCCGGCAAATACTGTGGCAAGAATCAAGTCGAGAACGTTCATTTGGTGCAAGCATAGGGGCTCGTTCAAAAACATTAACCGGAGAGTTTGGAACTTAAACCCTTTTCTTTGTTTGATGTGGGTGGCCTAATATATATTTGTCGTTTCCAAAAAAAAAAAAACAAAATAACATATGTGCTTCGATAACAATAAATAGTCAATTAAAACAAGTCAACATTTATAAGCTATTAAATAAGTCATAATTGGAGATGCATCTTACTAGATGCACCTCTATGGCTATGTGGGACTGGTCACTGGTCGACCAAACACCCACACACATGTTATATCATATACACATCCACACACATGTTATATCATGAGAAGATGTATTTAGTTTGGAAGGATACGAATAGAATCACATATTAATAATTAGCCACCGGAAAGTTGGAAAGGTACGTGATACAAAATGGCAGGAAAATAAACACAATAATAGATAGCCATTATCTTCAGTAAAATCTAGAAACTTTTCCATTATCTATGAGAAACCATAACTTTTTTTAAACATAAAAAAGACGAAAATTCGCCAATTGTTTTACATAAAATTAAAGACAAAAAACAGTAGTTCACTAAAATCACAAATGGGTAAACAATTGTTGGTTTCTTATATTTTTATTGAAAAATTTAATGGTTTTTTCTCATTTAAAAAAAAATAACAATGACTTTTTCATAAATAAGATCTATATTTCAAAACTTTAAAGGAGATCCACGTTCAATGAATACAAGGAAAGTAATACTTTATGCGACTGAAAAATCAAACATTGTGTATGCTATATGTGGTATAGGACCATATTTTAAATCAACGTCAAACTATGTACTCTCCAAAAAAAAAAATAACTCTTACTTAGTTAGACTTGGTAAAACGGTTAAAATTTACTTAGGATAACATTATTCGTCTTAAGTTCAATTCCAATATATAGTTGTACATCAAGAATGATTTACATTAATATGACCATGACGTGTGTGTGTGAGAGGGGGGGGGGGGGGGGGGGGGGGGGAGGGAGGGGGAGAGAGGAAGATGCGGAGAACAAGGAGGAGTGGCCAAGGGTGTGCATCTTAGCAGCCCCAAGTCTCAAGAAAGTATAAAAATCACATTTTCATTAAATTTCAATAAACAGACTTAGATGCTCACACAAAGAGCACTAGCTAGTTTGATTAGTTTTCTCAATTTTATATTCCAAAGATAGTGACAAACCCCGCATCTTGAGACTTCCCATTTAGCTTGTACTTGTATCAATTGAAGTCAATATTTAATGGGGTGTACTTCCCTATTTCCTTTTAACTTTTTCAAGAAAACCCTTTTTGTTTTGGGAATCACCATCATATGTATATAAACCTCCACTTGGTTTCCTAATTCCCGATCATTCAAGCAATACAAATTTTAGAGTTTTCCTTGTTCTACTTTTCTTCTAACATCAATGAGGGCTACCAAGAACATGACAAGTTCTTGCAATGAAGAAGAGTTTGATCAACTGAAAAGAGGGCCATGGACACTTGAGGAGGACAATCTTCTTATCCGTTATATCACTTGTCATGGTGAAGGCCGTTGGAATTCGCTAGCAAAATCTGCAGGTAAGTAAGGATAATATAAAAAACAGAAATTATTATATATTTGCATCATAAACGTTATATGGAGGTGTTACAACTTTCCCCTTTCTTCTTTTTCGTGGTTTTTAAGTTTTGGTTTTTTTCAGGATTGAAAAGAACAGGAAAAAGTTGTAGATTAAGATGGTTGAATTATCTAAAACCAGATACCAAGCGTGGAAATCTCACACCACAAGAACAGCTCTTGATCCTCGAACTCCATTCAAAGTGGGGCAATAGGTGAGTTGATTATATATGCCATATATTTGTGTACTACATGATATAAAGTTAAGAATTAATCTGTATGTTTCTTTACATATATATTCTTTAAATCATATACAATTTTTTACTTCCAGATGGTCCAAAATTGCCCAACACTTGCCGGGAAGAACCGATAATGAGATCAAGAATTACTGGAGAACAAGGGTACAGAAACAAGCTCGCCACCTTAAGATCGACTGTAGTAGTAAGAGGTTTGTAGAAGCACTTCACCAATTTTGGATACCAAGGTTGCTTGAGAAAGTAGAGCAAACCTCATCATCATCATCAGCATCAACTGCTTCTACTTCGACCATGAAAACCGAACAAAACAAATTAAGTCCTCATTCACAATCCGAACAGACCCTATTTGCAGTATCGTCTCCAACGACCAACCAAGGGTCTACTAACTCAAGATCAAGCATTCGTGCATCAGATTCTTCTGGGAAAATGTTGCCACAGCTTCCTGAAATGTCACAACTTTATGAGGACACTGCCTTCCATGACTCATCGCTCCAACACGATGACTGTTATAATGTGGATATAGGGAGTTTTGACATGATGGGCTTTGGGCAGGCGGATGACATGTCAGCCTTGAACTTCCAGATGACAGATACTGATTGGATAGCCAGTGGTGGCATGGCAACAGACACATACTGGAACATGGACGAGTTATGGCAATTCAGAAAATAGATAATAATATTGACCTTGATATCTGTCGTCAAATGGTCTTAATTAATCTCTCTCAAGTAATTTCTAATTATGGAAGAGTTGATAGTTTATACGTAGATAGGACCTCGTTTTAAGAGAGTCCCAAAGTCTCTAATCTTACAAGCAGAAGTGTATATGGTGAAGTAATACGTTTATTATGCTCTTCGGTATAGCATAAAGTTGCAATTGGTGTCTATTGTTAATGTCAATTTTTTTCCTTCCATTTGTCCACTTGTTTTAAGGATCCATCATAACGCAGTTTCATAAATCCCTATCAATACTATATAAATGGAATTGGAACCGTGGCAACTTTTGGTCAGTCCATGTTTATCCAAGTACCATACTATCAAGTGGATCTGTTTTGAATAGCATTGTAACTTTAATATTTAAGTCTTGGTTCGAGCCTTTTCGATTTGTTTAATAAGAAAATCTTTGCATATCAATATATCAAATAAAAAGATCTACTTTTTCACTTAGTAATCTTACTGGCATATGGAATATGGATATGGATTAAAAGATCTTTGAATAGAATAATTTGTGATATGTTTGGTTGTGAAAAAATGTTTTTATTTTTATTGAAAAGAGTTTAAAAAATGGTAGAATTTTTATTTCCAAATTTTAAATCTATATATTTTGTCCATGGGAGTTGAATAGTCAATCACATAGGAAGAACACCTTTTCAACATACCTAATGCCTTTACGCCATATGTCTTTTTGGTTTTCAAGTTATCTGTAATTTAGAAATTAAAAAAGAAAATCTTAAAAATTATGTTAGAAAAAATGTTAAGCCAAACATGTTCTCAAAGTTTTATTTTTTCATAAAAAAAGTTTATGGAAAACAAATGATTTTTTCACAATCAAGGAGGTCTTTGACTTCTTTATATCTACAAAGGTAATAAAATAAAGGGAAATAAGTAGTAAAGTTTCAAAATTTTGATCTGATTTACAATTTAGTTCCAACTTAATTTTTTTTTTTATAAAAGACGACCTGAAAACCGAAAAAATATTGCATTTTGTCAATATTTTACCTTTTCTGAGGTGGCAGACCAAGGTGGAAAGTGGTTGATATGTACATCATCATGCAATGTGTATCGTTAATTCGAAAAAATCGGATATCTTGGAAGGGGTGGGATTTAAACCATTGATCTCTCACACATAAGGGAAGCATCTTACCACTAAGCTAGAAGAATCTTGTTGTATTTCTTACTTAAACATATGTATATACTGTATTTATGTCTTTCCTTCAAAAAAAATAATAACCCTAAATCTGAAGCTGAAATGCTCAACCTGTAAATCTTCATTGATTTCATGGTTTTCGTTTTCCTCAAGATCTTCGACTGAGGGTTTTCTTAACATAAAATCATTTCCGTTTAACAAGAACACCACATATTGATTGTAGGATATTATGGGTGGTTTTTTAGGTTTGCTCCAGATATCTAAAATCCTTTTCGACTAACATATACACCTGCTTATCGGTTTCAGGCTATCTATTTTAATATAATTTCTAAAACGGGTCAACATGATTTCTAGGGTTTGTTCATCAGGTGTATGAAGATGAAAGATGGATCTGGAGATATAGGAACTGAACGTGAAGGAGAGAACCAATTTGCTAAGCACGTTTTAAAAAATTTACATTATATAAAATGTAAAGGAATAAATGTAAAAAAAGTTGTAACCCAATTGGCTAAGATATTGATTTGGGAGAGGGAGTGCCTGTAACACTCGTTTTTCAGATCGTATCAGTGTAGGGTACCAAGGAGTCAAATGTATGATTTTTGTAAAAAAAATCATGTGTCACATTTTGTCAATAGGATCGTCACGACGTGACGAGCCAAATCAAGAACGCGTGCATTTGATGAGTGTCACGACGTGGCGGTAGTATGGCCATGATGTGGCATCTGTTCTGGCCTAAACTTATGATCTTTTAGGGCTTCCATCGTATTTAAATTCCATTAACTTGAATCTAGGGTTCCTTATCAGCCTCCATCACCCTCAAATCCTAGAAAAACCCTACGTAAACCCTCTTGGTGGTTCTTGGCTAATTTTGGTGTTTTTGGTAGCTTGAAGAAGAAGAAGAAGAAGGTTTCTAGTGTGGTCATCCAGCAAGGACGCATCATCATCATCCTCTTGTGCATTCTCTGGACTCTTGTAAGTGTTCAAGATCCAAGATTTTTATTCCAGGCTTCTAGATCTACGTTTCTTGTCCCATTTCTTCAAGATTGTGGAAGTTTGGATGGAAGGATCCCATAAAGTCGGAAACTTTGTGGATCCTTGAGGTCCCTTTGGGGTTATATGTTGTAGATCTATGGTTCCTTGAAGTTTTTGGCCTCATACTCAAAGTTTGAGCACATTTTCTCATGAGTATGACCTAAAGTGGGAAGGACATGCATTGGCATGCGTGTCCATAAAGCTATGATTTTTATGGTCCGTTTGGTGTAGGAAACCCTTCCGGAAACTTTGGGGAAATGGCTTTTATGATTAAGTGCTTAATGGTTCAGTCATACCTTAAGTTACCACTAGAACCTAGGTTTTGAGAACATGGTGTATGGGATGTCCTAAGGGATAAAGTTGGAAAATTTATCAATCAAAACCTTAGGAGTATGTAGATCTGAGGTTTGGAGCCCTTTGGTGTGTTTGGAGGCATCTTAATGCATTAAGATGTTGAAGATCCAGTTCCCACGACGTGACACCTTGCGACCATGACGTAGTGACTGGAGTGAGCCCCAACTATTTTGTCATCTTGCTGCCACGACGTGGCCAATGGGAGGCCACGACGTGGCGACTCGCTGAAGTGTCTTTGGTTGTATGACTTTGGACCATTGACTTTGACTTGTTGACCTGGGTTGACTTTTGGTCAAGATTATTGGTTTTAGTGTGTAGACTATGGTTGGACCTTACATGTTTTGATAGGAGTGTGGTAGCATCTTTTGCGGGGCTTTGAGCTGTGGTTTAGCTAGTTTCGTGAGACAAGTGAGTTTTCTCACCATACTGTGTAGGATGCTAGTTGCCTTTATAACTCTTGCATTGTGTGTTGGGTGGGACACGTTCGTATGTCAGGTTGGGCCCGTATGTATGATGGGCAGGGCACGTTTGTATGTTGGGTTGGCCCATATGTATGATCGGCGGGGCCTAATATGTGGGCGGGGCCCATCATAATGGGCGGGCCCGATATATAGGTGGGGCCTGATTTTATGTATGGTATGTGGTATTTTGGGGAACTCACAAATCTTTGTGCTTATGATTTGTGGTTTTAACATTTTCAGATACTTATAGTTCCAAAGGAAAGGATCTGACTTGACTGTACCGCATCCCCTGAAGGCTTTTCATCACTGATTACTCTTGATTTGCTCTGATGTTTGAAATATATATTTTTAATGTGTTGGTTTTGGAATATATGACTGTATGACTTGATGGTTTAAAAATGAAAAATTTTTTGTTGGTATTTTTAGGACGTTATAGTGCCCAAGTTCGAATCCCACCAACTCTAAAAATATGATTTTATTTCATATAAATGATGCACGCTGACGTGGATTGCCACGTCAGCTGCCACATCAACTATCCTCCGCCTACTACATCAGCATGTTACTTGTTGAAAAGGTATAGAAATGACCAAAATGCAAAAAAAATTCCAGTTTTAAGACTTTTTCTATAAAAAAAAAAAATTAATTTTGTACTAAATTTTAAACTAGGCCAAACTTTTTGGACTTTACTGGAGATTTTCCTAAAATAAATTAATCAATTTAAGACTGATGTTTCATAATGTAAGAAGCCATATGAAGTTTTTTCTTACAAAAATGAAAAACTCACAAACACATTATATATATATATATATATATATATATATATTATATATATATATATATATAGATATATATATATATATATATATATCTATATATATATATATATATATATATGATTAAAAGAGACTTGAGCATTTGGAGCATTCTCATGGATCATTTGAGGTTCATGGAGCAGGTGACAAAGGAACGGATCAAGTGACAAAGGAACGAATCTTCCAAAAGTGGGTAAGGAGCACCATGTTGTGTCATCCAGGATGAATTTGCGCCATCATGACAGAAGTTGCGCCAAGTGGAAGGGTGTTGTGCCATTTAAGATGATGCTACGCCACATTGAAGAGGAGTTGTACCAAATGGAAGGGATGTTGCGTCACATTGGAGAAGTTACGCCAATAGAAAAGTATGTTGCGCCATGATGGTTCCTTGACGAGCCATGATATCGCTGATGAGTCACAAAGTCATCTATGATACTCAGAAGTTGGTGATTCTTAAGGAATACACCATGTTGTTCCACCATCAAGTGTTGTAAAACTCACCGAGTTGGCCGATTACTCGTCCGAGTACTCCCTACTCGGCCCCTTACCGAGGCTAGTTACAGAGTCCGAGTACTCCTAGATCAGCCCCGAATTGAAGCGAGCAGTGTTGTAAAACTCGACCAACTCGGTGATTAATATGTATAATATACTTAATTATTTATTATTCAACACACACATGTGATTATTACTCCATATATATATATATATATATATATATATATATATATTATATATATATATATATATAGATATATATATAGATATATATATATATATATATATATATATATATTATATATATATCTTAAATTTTCAGTAATTATTCACGAAGTGAGACCATTGTAGCGAGTGCTCGCTACTCGGTAGTCGATCGAACAGGTACCGAGTAGTGAGTTCTACAACCATGCCACAATGATGGATAATGGGCCATTAGTGTTCATGATGCGCCACTTGTACATCATTACGCTCCACCCTATTCGCTGCTTATACTCATGTGTTGTATATCATGGATGAATGTTATGTAAGCTACTGCATGACAGATTGTGATTGGTTGACATAATTCATGGGCCTATGGCCCAATGGGCTTGACCCATTAGGGTTTTAGTTATGATCCCTCAAATATAAATAGGGATGCATGCTAAGTCATTTGTGTGTCTTGAATTCTAGAGTGATAGGTGAATATCTATGAATTTATACTTGTAACCTCTGTTTGAAAGCTCATAAATACAGAATACTCTCCTCATGCCCATGGACATAGGTCACCTTGACCGAACCATATAAATATTGTATTGTGTTCTTTTGGTTTTGCTTGTTATCCGCTTTACTTCGTAACAAGTGGTATCAGAGTTGCGGTTGTGTTCCTGTATTAAAGATGTCTACTCACAGGTTTTATTTGGATAAGTTCAATGGTTTAAATGTCTTCACTTTGTGGAAGGTGAA